TAAAAAAAAAAAAAAAAAAAAAAAAAAACAGTACAAAGGCTACATGCTACGACATTCGATCTTTCTAAAATGTTTATCACAAGTTCGTTGTAAAAGTTTCTTAGAAAATAGCCAACGAACAATACACGTTTCTAATCTAGTGGCATTCTAATTAACATCACCGCTATAAACAATTTCAAAGATAAAGCTGACGTAAAAATATACAATTTGCATATTCGATTGCCAATAGCCTCGAAACTATGTACTACATGTTTATATATTCCACTTATCACATTATCTACGGCCTATTACACACGTAATATTTTTAATTGTTTATTACTAGATCGTTTCATACAAATCAAAATACACACTGTCCCATAAGCAACACTAAGTGACAAGCAAAAATAAAAATGCAAAATTATAAAAATAAAAAAGAAGACTTACTTTCTGAGCCATTTGAACATTCCCATCATACCCATTGCGCACGTGGCGCATCGGCCGACTGTATGCAGATTAGTTTCGACGAAATGACAGGTGAACACCACGATGCCAAATATCACTGTGAACACGAAATTGGAGCGCGACGCGTACGAATCGAGCTGATTCGCTTGCTTTTCGCAACTGACGACGAATTGACCGGCGCTTGCGCTCGTGCTCGTGCTCGTGCCGTAGCGACACTCACTTCTCACACTTCTGACAACGCAACTGTCCGCCTCTTCGCCGTTCTCTGTGAATCCTAGTCGTGCAATTACCACCCGCCGGCCCCCACTACCCATATCTTGCCACGATTTTCCGTATCCTTGCGTATCCTTGCTTTGTAGACTCGGATAACTACGTACGTACACAGGAAATTGTATTTTATTTTTTCGTGCGCGTCGATAGTACAGTCTCGCGATTATATTTTATTCTATTCTAATCGTTCTTAGACAGAGTTTGGAAATTTTTCATGTCAGAACCGAGAAGATGCGTCCACGTGTAAAATAGAAAGATCAGTTGGCGGATTTTATCCGATTCGGTTAAAATTTTCAAATCTTATCACCAAGGATTGTACCAAACTCTTGAATCTTAGATTTTTTATTTCTGGAATTAACGAAAGATGCGAAAGTACCTCTGGCAAAACTAATGTCGGCTTTTATCAACGTTTTTTTTTTTTTTTTTTGTTATTGGGACGCTCGAGAATGTGAAATGTTTATAAGTAGATCAATATAGGATGTACGTATACAAGTTTTTACCATTTTATAATAGAATTAATTAGAACAGATACGAGAGTATGATATTGTAAATCGGTATGTTTTGACAATATGTTTTACAAGCTAGTGGATATTTCCGCTCGAGATCGTTGTTTCGATCGATCGTTACTTTTAATTCAAACGAAAAATAAGCGACAGAGTATTAAAAACGATACGTTAATTCGGAGTGAACAACGAAAGCAACGGCACTTTGCATTTTTCTAAGGTATTAACGAATTATATTTATATGAATACAAATTAGAATATACGAGTGTCGATTGCATCGAATTGGCACCTGCTGACATATTGTCATCGTTGAAATTAATAGCGCATTTATATTACGTAGATGAAAATGTAAACAACGGTTTTCCGTATTTAAAATATCATTACGATAATAAACTTACCCATGCCAACATGATATACCAATCATTCTTGAAATAAATATATCGTCCAGCTTGAAATAAATATATTGTAAATATATTGTAATAAATTACAATATATTTTGTGTAATTAAAGTTCAAAATTGCCCAACCGGTTGTCGCAAGTTCGTGAAACAATAGTTTCGTGTCACAAGAAAATGTCACCACAAAGTCTCACATCTATTTAAGTTCTTCGTTGATCGCCATAATAATCGAAGCAAATACTCGTTAAAAATATCTAGTGCTGAATTTCAAAATTTCACGTCTAATTTTACGTATATGGGAATCTCGATATTGATACTCTGCACAGAGAGCATGCAGTGTCGTGTCAAACGAACCAACTTCCGAAACGAGACTCAATGACAAACACTGTCGTAGGTATGCGCGTTCAAATTTGACAACAACTTTTTCTTTAGTAGACATACGTACAAGTGTTTTTAGCTCGGTAGCTGTTGCTAGTTTCTGTTGTTATACATATTTGTACCGGTGATTACGAAAGTAATCGTAGGATCAGTCAAGAATAAAAAAAAATTAGTTTATTGTTTATTTTACGTTGCGCACATTTACATCGGAATAATTTGGATTCATGTTCGCAAAGTAGTAGAAATTGAAACGTTGGATCGAGTTGACTGTTACGCCATTAAACAGGATTCAAAACTGTAAATACCGATTATCAGCGAAACATTTATATTCGTTGACACATTTTGGATTCTCTTAATAAAACTGTATATTTTGCATAATGTAAAGCAACGGTTATTTATCGAGACAGTCCTGTTATCGTATAAAATGTGTGAAATTAGAGAGGTCAGCTTAGTATACGAGTTCTTTCGCGAGTTTGGTTTTAGTCTTGGTCGTTTAAATTTAATTAATCGAGTTTTATCGTGATTTATCTGTAAACTAAACAAATAGTTTCCATGTAAATAATTTGACAACAAATGCTTGCCATAGAATTTTTAGCCGAATTGTATTTTACTTAAAATTGTACGTTAAAAAATTTGCAAAAGATTCGATAGCGTTGTATCCTATAAGCCACCGATGTAGACTACGTAATATGCAACAGGTTTCTATCTTTAAAGTTCTTTGTTATCTTGCGATATGGTAATAGTATATCGTGAATGGAAATATCTGCCAATAGTTTAAGCGTTTTTGCATCTTAACAAACACGTTTCGTTCAATAAAGATATAAGTTCAAAGGGAACAATTTAATTTATTTGCAGAAATTTAAGATACTTATGTCTCTAAAGGATAAGCTTAAAAGATATTTTAATTTCGATTTTACGAACGAAAGGCAGGAAGAGATGCAGAATGCTACTTGCGTTTATGCTTATCTAAGGGATTTCATTAATTTGACGACTCGAGTCGTAAGCCAGGACGTTTAAACGCGTTTGAGAATTGCATTCCTAGACGATGCTTGTTGCTTCGAAACTAGGAAGCCTTTTGCGGAATCATTGTCCACGATGAAGTTCGTTTGATGTGAAGCCGTAGGGAACGCGAGTAATCATGTGCCTCTTTTCGCTGGCTCAATTCATGAGACGAGCAGACGGCAATCAGTGTGATGAGTGATAACAATAACAATTACTACGTGTAGTCTGTGGTAAAAAGAGAGAAACTGGGCCATTGACGGTGCACGTGGGTGGAATGGCATTTTATAACGTAGAAACGAAAGTGCAGTTTATTTGCTGTTATTTAAGCTATGAATTTTACGGTATGTATCGAATTGTAAGAAATAGGAGAGAGAGAAAGAAAGGGAAAGAGTTTTCTGATCGTTATATTTTGGAGAAACTGTTATCAAGTAGCATAGTTGAAACAACATTTTTTTAGCATTAATTATTGAGAGTCACAGAAGTTTGCAAAGATATAATATAGCACATTAAGAAAATGAGCGGTGGTTGTTTATTATAGTTATTTACAGGATACATTCTATTTTATTATACAGAAAAAGATGGTTATAATGATTTCAATGAATTTAGTAGCTTATTTCGTATAAAATGACTCAACAGCGCATCTAAATCCACATATTAAGTACGTAAGATTTTGCACCGAAGAGTCTTTAATTTAAAGATAAGTACACTGTTTGAGAATCGATAAATATTCATTTACAATAGAGTAGTAGATCTAAATTAATACTTAAGAAATTTGATAAATGTTATCTGTCAGGATAAAAGATAAATGTTACATGTTAGGACTGTCAGGACAAAATAATAAATCACACGAATAGAAAAACTTAATAAGATACGTAAAGACTAAATAGAAGTAGAGATTCATAATCTGAGAGAAGTAGAGAGTTATAAATATGTTTCAGTCAATAATTATCACAGTGGTATTGTATTAACGAAATGGAACTAGAATTTCAAAAAACGGTGTAACTTCAATGGCACTTGATATTCTTGAATGGTTCGTATCTGTATTCGCTTTTAGATTCATTTCCTCTGCTTAACGTCGCTTAACGGGATTTCATTTCTTGCTTTACACACGAGGTAAATGCTTGCAAACGCTTATGACGTTGTTGAGACTGTAAAATAAAACCAAGCATAGATAAACAGTTATTTGTTAATTGCTACAAGCACAATGACTATTGCAGAAATTAACAACCAAAGGACTTGTAACAAGAAGGACACTCCTATGACTTTTCACCTATTTTCATTCAGAAAAGTGAAAGAATATTTCTTCGATACATATTAATTTCTTTAAAAAATATATTCACCGTGTTACACAATTGTCGTGAATGAATCTACATATGTATATTCATATTGCGGTACAGTTGTATCTAATTATATTATGAACTTGTGAATCTCATAATGGTAATTGCTTTTACAAGAATAGCTAATTCTCATTCTACGAGTTGAATATGATTTGGCATACATTATTTTTCATAATATCGATTTCATTGTGTTGTGAATCTTGATTTCGACTATTATTGTCAGAGAATGTGTTACTTTCTACAAAATAGACAAATTTGACGTCGCTTTTCGTCATAAGCCCCTCGATTATTATAAACATGCAAATTATGTTCCTACTATTTCGCTGCCTTTAAAATTGTCTTTTACGTTGTTAACAAAGTTTGCATTTAATTTTTTTAACAGTAATGTATGCGAGGCATTTATTGCCAAGTACACTATGTTTAAAAACGGAGGTAACTAGTTTTTCAATCGATACCTTGAAACCTCTGTGTAGGCGATCTTTCATTATCGCTATAAATTCCTTGTAGGATAACTGGCCATCTCCATCCTCGTCAAAAAGTGCAAAGACAGTGTCGATAATACGATCGCTAAGTACACTGCCTGTACAAATTTTCACAGCACGTTGGAATTCGTCTGAAAAGAGAAACGCGGTAATATACGTTTAACGATAATATATATCTAAATTTCTTTCACAATGAATATATCTTGAAACCTTTTGATATTGGGTGATCCGCCAGAGTGTACATTCGCATAGCAATTGAAAAGTCGTCGAGGTTGTTCAAGAATTGATAAAAACGACAAAATTCCTCGAATGTAATACTGATTTGAAGATGCGAATTTATTATTATTCTATCCACATATTTATCGTATCTGTAACAATAGAATATATACATAAATTTAGCCATTTGAAATGTAAGAAAATTAAAGAAGTAATTTAAGAAAATGAATCAACCACCGGTACAAATAGAAGAAATCCATACTAGGCATTTAATGCTATATTTTATCAGTTCTACTAAATGAAATTTGTACGAATTTCCAAAATTCACAATTACTTTCAACTTTTCTTTTGCACGTGTAACGAGATCAAATTTTAGAAACTACGCTTCTACGAACGACCTTCTATTTATTTGAAGCAACACGTGTGAGAACAAAATCGGAAAAAGGAAAACGTACTCGTCGGCATCGAGATGCGTATATCGTAGCAAAATTTTCGCAAAATCTATCTCGGAGATAACGTCACGGCCTTTACTGAATTCGTGAAATTCGAGCTCTAGAACTTCTTGCTGCAGGTTTTCCATGAAACATTTGAAATTTTCGTATTTCAGCTCGTTGGTTCCATCTTTCCCAAAGAAGTGTACCATCAGAGTGGTATCGATTGCATGTCGTCGTTGCAAGCCCTGAAAATAATATTATCATAGTCAGTGGCGTCTAATTTCTAATAGTGTCTTACACAACGAACTTTTTTATAATTTTGTTTATCTTCATGTTTTTTTGTTTCACGATTCGACAAATCCTTTTCGATCGTCTCTTATTCGTAAGTAGCATTCCTTTGTAAAAACTTCTTAAAGTACAATGATTTGCGATTATCACTTCCAAAAAGCCTTTGCGTTTTTAAAACAAAATATATATATATAAAAAAAATGAGAAAAATATCAAAAGAAAAAAATATGAAGATATATTTAGTTTGAGTGTTTATCGTTAGTTATTTCGAATATTATATCGTATATTACTTGGTCATCGTCGATATATTGAACTTGAATTGCTTCAAGAGTCGTTTGCCTCTCTTTCGGAAGATCTAAGTTTCTTTTGAACTCGGTACCGTGACGTCCTCTCCAAGCGTGGCTGAAAACTTTTTCCATCTGTAGGAAGGAAAGAGAAAGATATTTAAATTTCTGTTTTTAAAACTTGTTTTTAAGATCTGCTTTATAATTGATCGTAAAGCCTTGGGAGAAGAGTGTTATATACGTATGCAGGTATGTAATTTCGTTATATCGTTCCAGCTGAAATCAACGTTTACTTACCAAAAATTCACATTGGAATAATGGTTTAACAATTAGGATAACATATATTTTAGCGAACACAAATGAAAGTATTCTACAAGACGTTCTATCTTATCTGCCTTTTTAACTTATTATTTCTTTTTTTAACTTTAACTTATTATGCCTTTTTAACTTATTAAATTTAACCCGTATGTAGCTGAATTTTGAGATTTAGGTATCCAAGAAACGATAAACTATCGTAACTTTTTCAATGTTGCAGTTAAAGCCGCCAATACTTAATTTTATCTGCAAATCGCATCAACGTTTCGACCATACAAGTTGTATTAATAGAAACTTTGTGATTTTATCATAATTTTAACGAAGAATGTTATTAACAAAGTATCCCCACTTACATTTAGAAGTTCTTTCTTGGTAATTTTTAATAGGCATATTCATAAACAGAACCTAAATTTTAAACAAAGATTAAATTATGTAATTTTTGTGTTACGAACTCAACATCTCACAATCGTCACATAATTCAGTTTATTGTTAAATTATCAAATATATATTAAGAAGGATTTTATTTATTAAAATTATAATGCAAGTCCAGCAGGAAAATTCAAATTCACTCTGACAGTAGTTAAACAGATAATCACGTGCATAACTTAATAACTTACGTAGGAATTCGAGACAATCTGATTTTTGTCATTGCTCTCTCGGGTGTTACGAAGTTTTGGTTCATAAACGAAATCTTCGCTCGGTGGCATTATACGTTTCAACTGATAAATACATCAAAAAGAGATATTGAAACATATCTGTAATAGGCGCTTGCTTCGAATAAAAAATAAAAAGATGGATTAAGAAGTAACGTAACAACAAAGCAGAATCACGAATGAAAGTATAAATAAAAATAGCACGATAAAAAGAGATTAGGAACAAACGACGAATACAAATACATAAAGCGTCGAAACGTAAAACAAACGAACGGAATGGAGTTACTTGACAATTTACTTAACTTAAATAAAAAATGATGTAATAATGGAAATAATTAGTAATTAATTCAACTCATGCATTCAAAATTAACCGATAACAAAGCATACAAAATTTTGTTTAGTTCGCTGATAACAAAATATGAAGTTATTTCGATTAGTTTTGTTCTTGTGAATTATATTATCGTTTACGTTATTTAGAAAAGAATGTTAGACATCCGTAGGAGAGCGAATTAATAATATTATCAAGCAGGTTTGTTAGATGTCAAAGGCGCAGGACGTTATTCGAGTTACGATTGCAAGCGCGCATAATGAGTCGCGCGATGATAATCAAGATTGCGAATACCGGCTCGATTTGCTCTTTCACGAACATGTTAAAACTCACTGCACGTTTTGTTTCAACGTCGAGATGCCGATCCTTCAGGTTACCGCCGAGCAATCGTCGAATCTGTGAAAATTACAAACGCATCCGTGCAAATTGACAAATTCTGCTCTTGGTCGCATACTACGACCTTCTTCGTCTTCTAGATCGTGTGATTTTTCTTCGTTTCTGAGAACCCGCAATTTATTTTCGTAACGAGAACATTGATCGGGTTGCCGCGAGTTTCTTCTCGTTGTATACTTAAATCGAACATGTTAAATCTACATATAGCATTCGATATATTTATCTTGCTTTCTTATTTTCTGTTTCGTACGTTTATTCGATTTGGCGAAAAATATAAAAATCGTAATTTCAAGATGAATTAGAAATTTAGAATAAATCTTTCATTCTATATAATTATCGTATTTGTTGCTGCCTATGTACTTGTAATTGAAAGTTAAAACGTATCCGATCTCCATCTGTATCGATCATTTACAACTTTCAAAAATTTTCTCTACGGAATTTTCTGATTGCTTCGTCTTAAAATCTCTGCTTCAACTTAAATTCGAACGAATAATTTAGTTTAAGGTAATACGAGTACGATTTAATGTTATTAAAGTAAAAGGAGTAAACGTCGATCGTACATCGTGTCACGTTGATTTAATTTATGAACAAGTTATCGTCGAATATTTTCTGTCTGTCTGTCTGTGAATCGTGAATTACGTGTTTATCGGAAAATTGCACTGGAAATGTTGCAGAGGCATACCGAAAGAAACGTGTAACTTAAAAAGCTTACTTTGAACGTGCACTATTTAACTGGTTTTAAATTTAGCTTGCTTTATTAAGAACTGAAATTTTATCTCTACCGAAAAATATTTAATCAAATCAAATTTGAAACATTTCTATAGGACAAGTACAAATGCGATAAAAAATCGTGATAATTTATATAGCAGACTCGCGCAAGAAATGTGCAACTTGGCAAAGAATTATCTTACCACGAGAAATTCCGTTTTATCCACACGTTCGTTTCCATCCGTATCGAACATATTGAACGCGATTCGGAAACCGGACGTAGGTTCTGCAATAAGAATCTTTGTTACGTCTTATTGAAAATACAGAATAATGAAAATTCATGAGAAATTCACGTATGTTATTAAAAATTGTACGACGATACTTACTGATTAGGATCGATAAGAGGAAGAGATACTCCGTGTAAGATATAATTCCTACGTGAACAAAGGAAAGAATTATTATTACGTGTACATACGTATCGTAAATCATTATTATAACATGATACTAGGCGTAAGAGTAAACTTCGAACACAATATTTCAATAAAGGAAAGTTTCAATAGTTTACATATCGCGTTATCGCTTTGAATAGTCGATATTTCTATGATTTATTTCATTTTAACGATAATAATTTCCATAAAATAATCGATCATAGAAAATCTACTCGAAAACACACCATGCACAACTAGCATCAGCACTAAAAATCAGCCATTAATCATTACACAAAAGTCCTAATCCCCGGTCTAATTGATTTTCAGTCATTAGCTAATCTCCACGTTCGAATCTCATTCGGTTAAAACGACTTTTCGATCGTTAAATCGGTTCGAACGTATACGAGGCGAAAGAAGTCGGTCTGGTCTATCGGAAAGAAGCCGGGCCCCCAAGAGGGATTCGTACCCATTTAAGAATAAATCCATTTATGGGAAAATGATGTATCGCGCGCGGACGGCCGGGTCTCTTCGTTTTGTTTACGGCGACACGACACAACGATAAAGTGCCGTACTAATTTCCACGATAATCGCGTTAACTCGTAATCTAAGCGTAACAGGTTGCCCTAAACCATGGTGGAGAAGAGGTAGCTGCGAACGGCATTAGATACGCCCCATAACGTTCTAGGCATTCCTCGGAACATCCCTTTTCTTGGTTTAAAGAAACGCCAAATAACTCAGGCTTTTAACGTCTCGCAGCGAGAAATACTACTTCCAAAGTTAAATTTTGATCTTCCAGTCAGACAGAGCGCATCATCCTCGAAGCGTGTTTTCAGCTTTGTGCCGAACGATCGTGGAATCGATTTTATGTGCCATAAGCACTCCATAAAACGTTTTCACGACTACGAAAGCCGGAGGAAAGTTTACGAAGCGGAAAATGAAGAAAGTGAGTGGAAGGAAACGGTCGACGCCGAAGCTCCTCACACTCGACGTTCACGATCCATTTCTCTTTTTATCGTCGTTGAATTGGAAATTTCCGATTAAAAGTCCTGCACGAATGAAGCTATTGCAGGCGAGTACAGTCGGCGAACATCAGAAAAACTCTAAATAAAAGCTGACGCTTACAGCGCACTGTCTTTCTCTTTGCATTGTTCTAGAAAGAGAAATTCCGTTTGGTGAAATTGATCTTTTCCTGGAAATGATCGTCGATTCTCGAAAGAAGAATTTTTCGCAGGCTATCGATGTTTGAAGAAACTTTTCGAACCGTTTATTCGATAAAATTGCTCCGTCGATGCGTATCTTCTTTTCCCAGAATTTGTGCTTTCCATGCGATTCGATAACGGTGAATTATGTAAATTTCTTATGCAGGCAAACCAAATAAAAAATAAACACTCCATAAACCGTTTGCCTTTGCAACGTAACCTCCATTTAGATCGATAGATCTCTGTCAAATTTCTATTCTCTACTTTCATTTGGATTGACAACGAAAAATATTACGCTGTTATTCTTCACGTAATTACAAACTCGTTTACGCACACTCGATAACGTTTCTTACATATTTATTATCGGCATTCTCTCTTAGTTACTGTTCGCACGTATCATACAGTTAAACTTCGCCACTCGTTTCTTCGAAACTACGTTTCTACGAAGTAAATAAAGTGCCTTAAAAGCGAGACTCGTAGTTGCGTAAGCAACTTTCGCATTGTATCTTCATTCATACGGTTTCACAACTCGTTGTCTATGAGCAGAAAAAGAGTATACGTTTCTTCGCTGCTTAGCGCTACACACGCTTCGTGTATACTACTTTTGCGCCACTTCATTCATAAAATTCCACGATTCATTCCGATACCATGTACTACATACTTGGTGCGCGTTCGCGCAATGAGAAGGTATCCCGTTTAGTCACGCGTCGAAATGGTTTCGAACAGCGAACGAACCGATATCGGTAAGGCGATGTAGACGAGCGAGTTTTGTCGCGCGAGTGGTTCACAAGCGTTTTAGCATGAAATTATATGGGAAATACACGAGGCGCGAGCGATTTCGTATAAATTTGTATACATTATATGGGTATCTACATGTGTATCTAGAAGCAGTAGGACACCTGTGTATCTCATACGAAATGTAGCACATATAAAAGTAGTGGGTCGAAAAAATGATAAAAAAGTAAGGAGTTAAGGATTTACGAAAAGTTTGAAGCAAAACTGAAAATGAACGGCCAATTACTCGTTATATCGGTAGGCCTCGATATTCAATGCGATCACTTTTAGCATTAACGTTGCTTTAGCGCGTAATTAGCATAATTGTAGCATGTTTAAGACAGTTATTCGTGCTGTATGTTTTATATTTTATTTATTTATATTATATTTTAATAAATGCATGTCCGCGATAAATGTCTCGTAATTTCTCTATACATTTTCAGATTGCTTCCATATTTCAAATTTTTGATTAACTTGAAGTTTTACATTAACTTTTCAAACAACGACGACGCTGTAGTACCGACAAAATTCCCAAAAATGTCGTATATCGCACGCGATACGTTAATAAATGTTTTCTATAATAAGTCGACGAAACAGATTAGGTCAGGGGCCTCGTATATTAGCCTATAAAATTCTGGGCTTACTAACACCGTGTTGGTAACACGTGAGCAACCATCGCATCGCGATGGTATGGAAGAAAAAAGAGAAAGTGGGATACACAGAGAGCGAGGGAACTCGTTTATTAGAGAGAAGTGTGAAACTGGCTCCATACGTGATTATTTGCATTTCCATTAGCGCGACAAACGTGCGGTGAACGCACAAAAAGGCAGGAAGAGGCTCGAACCAGCTGCACCAGGGACTCGTTAACGACGCGACGCAGCCCTGTTATTTCGATCGTTGCGAGTCGCAAGGGTGGCGGGATTAATTGCTGTACCGATCTCCGAGCCACGAAACTCGAGAACCTTGCAAGAGAGCAACTTCGAAATTTTTCACACGGGACGCGTCGAACCTAAATCGTTCGTGTCAAATTTTCAATTTCTTCGTGACTTTTCCACGCGAGCCGCACCTAATAACCAACCGAGTCGATTAAATGTAAAATCGCGCAAATTGGTCTTTCCTCTCTAACACGATATCATCGATAATAATATCGTATTTTCCCGTCTATCGTACAATAAGTCAGCACCATTCGGAAAAATACGATATCTCGATCTTTTTGCTGGTTTTATATAACTCGCAGACTGACAATGAGAAGAAGTATCTTAATATGGAATAGTCGAAAAATGGGTACCTACGATCTGGTAGGTTTGAAAATATAAAAACCTTTTGAAAATACACGATAGATCCGTAATGTCTTTTAAGAAACAAAAAGAGCATATAAATCTGAATGAATTTAATATTTACCGCGAGCTAAAATACATTCGGTCGCATATATACGAATGTTTCTATTCTCTAGAAATATTTCCATGCTTGAGAAACAGTCTCGAGGTTCGAAAGACACGTCCGTCGCCCGGTTCTGTACACAAACTAACGTCGTTAAAATTTCTTTCCCTCTAAGCAAGTGTAAAAATCAGAAGCGGTATTTTTTGACTGCTCACCTTTGTCCCGAAGGTTTCTGAACATATGTGGATTTCCATGACGTAGCGAGGGGACGCTGTTTCTCATCACATCCAGCTCCTTGTCAGTTAACACGCGTCTCTTCAGCCTTGCTGAAATATCACCGAAATTTATTTATTTATATTATCGATCGAGACGCCGCGATTTCACCGCACTGTCGTTGCCAGTTTGCGCAAGGCTAAAGTGCATTAAAGAACCGTGACAGAAACGTGCGAACGACGTATAAATTCGGATGCTTAGAACGTTTGTTCTATTCGTAGACCGTAGAGCGACATACGTAGTGGAAGGTCGATGAATTCTTTCGGCTCAAATCTAATCTAAATTTTTTTAAATCAAAGAGAAATAATTAGCCTTTAACTCGTTAAAAAGATAGTATACACATACCTACAACACGTACAAAGCAGTATTTTGATTATTTAAATATTTAATTTCAAACAAATGTTAGATTATCGCGATAGTTAACAGCGATTGTTAACGGTATTGATCGATAACAAGTTATTTTTCAGCAGTTCGTTTCCGATCTAGCAAGTTATCACTTATAGCCTTTGCGAATTTATTTGATACTCACGTCTGGGTTCAGATTCAACGACACTGTCGAGGAAATCTTGAGGCGTCATATACAGTTGCCCGTCATATTCCACCGATGCAAATTTTATAAATCTTTGTTCCCTCATCGTCAACTTTACTGCCTTCTCGTGCTCCTTCTGCGTGACAGAATAAAAAAGAAAAATAAACATCGATTTACGATCTTTGGCCTCTTCGCCTCACTTGCGACTACAAAATGTATTGTCGAATATGACACAATTTCCATTCGTGCTACCGCGACTACTTACTTGGCAAGTTGCGCGACTAGTCGCAAGTGGAAAAAAGGCCTTCGAGCTGTGCGCGTCGAATTTTTGCTTTTATTCTTGCATTTCTATAATTTAATACCATCTGGCGCTGTTTATAGATCTTTTATACGAGCATAACATTTTATATTTATTTATACGAATATAATTTTTCAATGCATACGGACACGCGTATATTTTCCCGTTAAATCTTTGCGCCATATCGGCGAACTTGTTCGAAAGAACCTATTCACAGGTTCTAGCTCGCAAGTGTCATTAAGCTCTCTTCTTTGGCATTTAGCGTAATGGTCTCTTTTTACGATATCTTTCTATTTATGCACACACGCGCGTATACGATATTTGACAGTTCGTTGATTTCATGAAATTTCAATCGATTTATTTTAATTTATTAAATCATGAAATCGTTTATAAAATCACACAATTCGATCGAACTTTGCTCATACAATACGACAGGTACTTGAACGTTAAATATACAAATATCTACTCGAGTTCTTACTTCACTGCACCGCAGCAATGCGACACGCAATAGCTAAAATTACATATTTCTGTAGCTGGTACGGTCAAACGTTATCAGCGAACTATCGAAGAATAAGAATAATTTCCATTTTTAGGCTATTCCTATCATATTTACCTGCGAAAGGGACAACATTTTTGGCAACTACTTATTTAGAAAGAATTACTACCGAATTCAGGAGTTCGCTTATCACTGAATCTGCCCCAAAAATCTATCGTCATTCCTGTTACTTCGCGATTGTAATCGTAAAAATACTCGGGGAAAATCGTTGATTCTAAAAGGATCGTTTACGTCCTCGTTTTGCTTTCGAAATAATTGTACGATTAGAAGATTAATCGGTATGCAATCGGAATAAAAGAATTTCTTTCTACCGCATTTCTTGAAACGTTTAACGTCACGCTTGGGACGAATGCGCAAGACATGTCGTGAAATTCACACATCTTCCGTATCCCTACGATCTGTAATCTCGCGATTAAACCCATCGTGCAATATATATAAAACATCGATAGAATTCAACACTTACGATGTATAAGCATTTTTCATTTCAGCCCGCTGTCTTTGAAGCGATAGTTTACTACTTACACAAACAGGTAATTGTATAATTTAGAATATCCTTAAATCGCGTATCGTTTAATAAAAAACTGAAATTCGCAAGTTTATTGCATCACTTATTGCACATAAATCAATTGTCTACAGTATACCTACATGTAATCTATGCAATACTTCTTTGTTCAGATTAATAGCTTTGATATTGCAAACGTTACTTGGACAGCTTAAAGATTATAGACTTAACTCTACGGATACAAGAAGGCAGTTCTAATCTTAAAATATGTATGAAATACGTTGCGATCCTCGTGTCATACGACGATATTGCTTCAGAGAAAAGATCATCTACCGCCCACACCGATTCTGAATTTATTTGCATAATACACTATTATTCGATAGCCTTACAAATCGTCAAATTACATACAAAATAAAAGTATCTGCGTCTAATTCCAAATTAGAATTGAACGTTTGTACGCATACCACGTGCGATAGAAAATACGATAATTATCCGAGTATTTATTTTTAAGCGTCTATCCGATATTCGTTGTACAAATAAAACGAATAAATTTCGACTCTAAGATATCGGAATTATTTTGATATCCTCGTAAATATATTATCAGAGAAGAAATATTTACAAATAAAATAAGCCAACTTCCATCCTGCCAAGTATGTATCATCGTGCCGAAATCCATACTGTTAAATATTCTTCTTCGAATAAAAGAAATTCCACGCTGTACAATACCACATCGAAAGAGAGTGCGATTTTACCCATAAATACCGTACTTCGTTTTCTAGCTACACGTAGCAAATTCCAATATGCCAGGGACCACGAATGGGTCTCCGCTTCAGCACGATTCCATTGTTGCTCGCGAGAGCCACTAGAGGTTAACAAACTATCGATACGCGGTTGGAACACGACTATGAAAGATTGTCGAATTTCTAAAAGGGCGAGGCCCTTTTGTTGGCTTGCTTCGTGGGAGCCTGTACGCCCACTTAGTGGCCGGTTATACTCCTCCCAGCTATCTGCTTACCTACGTTCAGGCAATATGCGTATTTCGCGACGTAAGCTGCAGTTAAGCCTTAAAGGTTATGCACACAATTCTCGTGTAACGACGTGAATTTGCGATCTCACCGGTGCAGATTGAATCGTTCATTCTGTAGACGCGAAATTGCTGGAACGCGGCGACCCGGCGACGCGGCGCCCCGTTCCAAGAGTCAAGTTTCAGGACAACTGATTATGAGTTATTGTCAGCATCCATTCAATCTCTACAACCTTTTCCTTCTTTTCCTTTTGATCGCACCAGTCGTACAAGAGTTAAACAGCGTCTTTTGCACGTATAAGTTACTCGTTGCTTAGAAATTACGAGCTTAATAGTAAGAAATTGGCTGTATTATTCTTTGTAATTTACGTTGTTACGTGTTGACTATGCACGTGTTCTAATATATCGTTATTCGTTTCTATTCAAAGAACGTTCGCTTCGTCGTTGCATCTCGAACTATACCGCGCACCATATAGTTTACCGCACGTACCGTTCTGCGAACACGTTCCTCTGCGATTTAAAAGCAGAATATCAACACGGTACCTTGGTTCGTATCGATATCGTTACATCACGCGTTTGTCATTATTCGCATGAAACGGATCCTTGGCTTATTTATAGGCGAGCTGCTCGAAGGATGTTTGGCCGACGCTCTCGTTTTTCGTTGCATTTCCATAAGCGTGAATCTCGGTCCGACCGTAAATCAGCCTCTTTTTCCGCGACAAATCGTTTTTACAATGGTTCGTACTCGTGATAGTAGCTTCCCGTTACCGATCGAGATTATCTGGCGAAGTAACTCGAAGATTCATGCGTACATGCCAGCAGTTTATTCTTCTATTTTTTCTTTTTTTTTCTGTTAAAAGGCACACCCATTAAGCGTGAATTTATAGAAATAAAAATGGCATCGTTAATTCAGCCGTCTGTTACGTCTGGTTCGTGAGTAGCGTTCGTTTTCCTACATGTATGTAAATCTGATAATCGTATTTTCAATAAAATCATTTTATTGCAATGTGCCCGGTATCCCGCTTATAATTATTCGTATAATTACGCGACCCAGGGAAAGTAACGATTATACGTTCCGTACGAAATGCGTGTATTAATTTTTACTGTTTCGCTCAACGAGATTTATAGTTATAGCCAGCGTACGTGTATAATAGTGCGGTTATCGATGGCAATTTCAGCAAATAAACAATAAAAGAAAACGCATATCTCTGTGTCCATTTGGTCGTTCCTTTTAGAGTTTGTATGCAAGTGTCTGAAAGATACGTGGTTTCTATTTATTTTTTTCTTCTTAATAACAACCTTCGATTTCGATGGCTTTGAAATACGTTGGCTCACGGAAGTATTCGAACGTTCGTAGACACCTTTCGCGAGTATATTACGTCAGCTATACGAAACATCATCGGTTCTGTGACGAGAACCGACCGTCGCGATTACGACGATCGAATTTGAAACAAAGTCAAAAATGTGGTGGAAAAAGGTATTTGCACACCGTTGCATCATATCGTAACCTTTTTATGATATTTATTTACACGATTGAAATATTCTAGGCACATCTTAATAATTGTTACGCACAGGGGATGACTCGATTATACGCTGGAGGAGATAGATACACACGTGCGATCTCGTTCGTTAATTCTGATTGTAAGCATGGAAAAATATTGACATATTCGACTATATAGTGATGTAAGTTTTCCACTAAAACTGCAAATATTGGTTTGGGTTGCTCTCAGCGAATCGTAAGGCGCTGTTGAGAATGCTAATATTTTCTGACGTTTAACATGTTTCCATAAACCTCTTACTGCTTCAAGAACCATCGCGCTGTCTATAAACCGTTAAACTTCAAAAACCATTACGCAACTGAAGTTTACTTCCTCGAGACAGCTGGTATCTACCGCTACGATAACTTTTCAAGGAAATCCAACCAACAGCACGGTACCCTTTGCGATTGTTCTATAAATGGCACTAATTGATCTTTGAAATTCCTAATTAGCAACACCGCTTTGAAAAGACCAAAGTTATACAAGGAAGAATGGTAGAAAATGTTTCGCGCATCTCTAAACGGTTATCAAGGCGTCGCACTATCGTCTCGACAGATCCAAGAGTTTTCGATTACGTTATATCAAAATACTATACAAAGCACGGCATCGTATACATGTTTGTACGCGTATTTTTACAATTGAAAATTTAGCTAAAAACACGTAGATGTTTGATTCTAAAAACAAACAACGAGACATTTTTCAGATCGGTTGGAAAAATATTCGGAGCGTAATTGAATCTGAAAATAGTTTCCCGGTAGAAAGTCAAGATACGATTTAAATACGATTATATCTCTATTTCGTTTTATCTGCGATATTCGCGTTTTCCACGACCGTCGGCCGAAAGGCGAAAAGTCAGTGTCTTCGCGCGCACGAGTGTTTCTAAATTCGTATCTTTAAAGCGTGTTAATCCCTGGTCAAGGTCAATGATGGGACGAAGTCGTCGGCAGAGCTCGAAAATTCTTACGAAATAACCTTTGCTCCAGCGTATCCAGGGACACGATCTCACAATTCCTCGTTCAGGAATACATGAGCGACAGAGGAAGCTGAAATCATGGGGGAAAGATATTTCCGCGAGAATGAATTTACGCTACAACACACCCATAAATCGACTCCTTTTCTTTTCCGTGGTTAATGCGCGCGGCACCGCCGATTTATGGGATACCAAACGCCGTTAGGTCTAATCTTCTCGTTAGAGACGAGGCCGAAAAGCACCGAAGG